GTCATCAGTTGTCTGTATCTCCCCACCACAATTTATCTGGGCTTTTATACATATTTAGGTTTTGCAGCGGGGCACTGTTATTCTTGAGACTAATACTTTTTAACCTCTTATCTCTAAGAAAACAGAGTGCCATGTTGCCAATTATAGCATAACTCGCATAAGTAAGACTAAGCATGACTAGCTGAAATGTCAGCTCTCTCTTTTTCCCTTAAGCATCTCAATATTTAAAATATACAGAGTGAAGTTAAACTCATAAGATGGACTATATCATTTGTAAATGTTTATACTCTATTAAACTATTTAAGCTATATACTACTTACTACACATGTCACAAGTGATTGGAACCAAGCAATATGTCACCAGGGATAGGTAGAATCATTTCTGCATACATCCACTTACTAGGGAAGCCTTTGAAAAATCACTGAATCATTTCTCCTTGCTCCAGTTTTCTTATGTCACATGTGCAGATAATTTAACTCATATAAACATCAGAATCGATTACAGCGACCTATCCAATTATGCATATTTCGAGATGACTACTTTTGGAGACAAACTATTCTTTTAATAACTTTCCCCCCTTCACCTCTCTGTCCACCAGCCTGTCTTCTGTCCACTCATTCTTTCTTTCCGCAGACACTGGTGGGTGCCAAAAATATGAAAGTATTATGGATCAGAGTTGTCCTGGGACATAGGCTCTGTCTTCTGTGAACCCACACTTTCGTCAGTCAGTTTGCCTTTTCTTGATCTGGGGATTGGTTGACATACCATGACCCATGTGATCTCACCAAGGAAGAGGAATGCGGGGAAGAAACTGATGAGTCAGTAGTAGAACAGGCTTCCTACCATGTGCCTTGCCTTTATTTCATTTAGGTTAATAAACCTTTGAGACTATAGTGACTACAGGTGAGAAAACTAAGTCTTGAGATGGCCATGAAATTGCCCGAGTCTACAGCTAGAAAGGGGTGGGACGTGATTGGTGAGTGTGTGTGTGTGTGTGTGTGTGTGTGTGTGTGTGTGTGTTTTGTGTGTATTATTGCCAAACATATCCTACAAATGCTAGTTTATTCCCGTTCTGCGATTAATGTATGCTCGCTTTCAAGTTTATCTTGATATACAATTTCCCATTACTATTTCTTCACCCACCACTTTATTTCAGATTACTTTTTTTCCGGATACATCCACTTGCAATTTTCACCTGGACACCTTTCTTTATTTTCTGTTTATATTCTTTCTCTAAGACTTTTAGGCCTATTATCATGTCACTCTCCTCACTGGATTAGTATCCACTACCAAAGTATGTGTTATGCCAAGGGAGAGACCAAAAATACCTGGAATTATCTTTCAGAGGGAGGGGCCTCTGTAGTACAGGCTTCCTCGGCTAGGTAAGTGTTCTAGGAACCCATCAGCATCACTAGACCAGCGTTTGGCTTCAGTTAATTTTTTTTTTTTTTTGGAGAATCTTTCAACACATTTTTCCCTTTCATGATGGGTGATTTACAAGCGTACCTGCCCAAAACAGCATGACACCTGAGCCCCACCCTCCCTATTCACCTGATCTCGCCCTGAGTGGTTTTTTTTTTGTTTCATCGGATGAAAAAAGTTCTCAACGACTAACATTTTGCCGACATGGAAGAGGTGAAAGGAAAACAGCAGAAGCACTAACAGACATCAACACTGACGAGTTCAAAACCATTGAGAGCAGAGGAAAAAGCAAATTGATCAGTGTATGGTATCAAATGAAGAGTACTTTGAAGGTGACTGAAGTTTAAACACGTAAGAATAAATGCACACCTGCATAATGGAGATTTGTATACCTAACTCTGAATTGTGCCCAACATCTTTAAAATACAGAAATTAGAAGAAAAAAAAGAATAAATACACAATTTTTTTTTTTTTGAGTTGGAGTCTCACTCTGACACCCAGACTGGAGTGCAGTGGCCGCTCCCAGCCACCGCAGCCTTGACCTGCTGGGCTCCGGCGATCCTTGTGCCTCAGCCTTCCAAGGAGCTGGAACTACAGGCGCGCGCTACCACACCAGGCTAATTTTTTTATTTATTGTAGAGACGAGGTCTCACCAAGTTGCCCAGGTGGGTCTCGAACCCGCGGGTTCGGGCAATCCACTCACCTCAGCTTCCCAAAGTGCGGGATTACATGTTGAACCACCGAGCCTGGCAAAATACACAATTTTTTAAAAATAAATTCTGTTTTTTGGGGGTCCCCCTTGCAGTTACTCTTCCTTATTGCTCTCTAGTAATAACAAACAAATAGTAAATTATTATTATTACGTGCTTACTATGTGCCTGGCACGGGTAGGAACTTTACGTGTATTAATTTAACATTCAAAACTACCTTTGGATGTCAGCATGGTTACTGCCTACATTCTACAGACAGTGAGGCAGCCTTCTAAGTAGAACACATACAGACATGCATTATCATGATAGAAATTACTTATATAATATTTGAACTTGGCCAGGCTCATTGGCTCAGCCTGTAATCCAATCATTTAGGGAGGCCGAGGCGAGTGGATTGCCTGAGCCTGCGGGTTCAAGACCCACCCAGGCAACTTGTGAGACCTTGACTCTACAATAAATAAATTTTAAAAAAAATTAGCCGGGCAGGGTAACACACCCCTGTAGTTCTGGCGACTTGGAAGGTTGAGGCAGAAGGATCGCCATAGCCCAACAGGTCGAGGCTGCGGTGGCCAGGGGTGTGCATGCCACTGCACTCCAGCCTGGGAGAAGGAGTGAGACTCCAACTCAAAAAAAAATTGAACTTAATTCTCTGTGTTAATTCTTAATTCTTTGAACTTAATTCTCTGTGTTTCCTAAGTATTTTGTTCATGATAGCCATCATCACAAGACCAGGGGTGGTAGGTTTTTTCTGTTAAAGAGCCAGATAATAAATATTTTAGGATTTGTGATCTCTGTCACATATATTTTTTTTTCATTTTTTCACAACCCTTTACAAATGCAAAAAAAAAAAAAAATGAACAAAATAGGCTGAAGACCAAATACAGCCTGAAGGCTGTGGTTTGTTGACCCTTGCGTTGGCCTCTTACCCAGTAAACTATGCTTCCTAGAGTGAAACGAACTCATAGCTCTGTTATAGGCATTATTTTCCATTCCATAAATTTTCCTTATTAGAGCCATTCTCAAATGCTGTTGGGAGCCAACATCTATAGCTACATGGCTGAGGCCTGTAAAGGCCCATCTGGAAGATCACCTCTGACATAGGATATGAGTTATACCTATAATATTGGCATGTGATTAGTAACCAGTGTGCATACATGGCAGTAAAATTTATAAGTAAATCTCTATACACCCGATGGAAAGTTGCACAGTAGAATTATTTTATATGACCTTGTCCCTTCTAAGTTGTACTTCTTTCTAGATATTTTTTACTTCCATTTCCTTGTAGACTGGGTAGTCAGCTCTTGTTCCCAAAGGCAGTTTCTTCTAGGATTAAGATTAGAAACTAAATTACCATAATAGTTTTATTGCCCTGCCTCTAGTCAGGCAGGACGTTTTTCTAGTTTCGTTACATGCCGAAACTCTGTTTGCTTCAGCCCGTGGTCATTGTCATGGTAACCGTGCAGCCCATTATCCAAGAGTGTGACAGCTACTATTTGATTTTTAGAATAGACTTGTTTGGATAAAACATACATTTAAGATGATACAATTTCCATCAAAAAGATTTAAACAGTAATAAGCATTCATAGAAAACTTTTAAGTTTTGTTTGAGCTTTTAAGTTTCCTTTTCTCAGATTATGACTTTAGTTCCTATTCCTGTAGGCCAATTTTAAGATCCTTTGATTAGTATACCGAAATTTTCCCAACGGTGCTGTTTTTGTTTCTAATATGACAATAGGAAATTTTACACATAGCCATGTATTAATATACTAGGAAAAAAGATTTAAGTTTTGGGTTAAAGTCATCGTTTTATTAGAATAGAATGAGAATTATGGTGTTATGATTTTAAAAATCATACGTTAATGGTAATTATAAGATTTAATGATACGGTATTAGCTTAATAGGATATAGCATAGTATTAAAGGTCAATCATTAGATTATATAAAAATTAAAGTTTAGACATATGAAACTCATTATAGTAAAGTTTGGTAGTTTAAGAATAGTTTTAACTGAGTTATAAGGCATTACGTTAAATCGTAATAGGATAATAGTATAACTAACAGCTAAGTCATTTAAGTAAACTTATAGATTATAGTATAGTGTTAAGTTGATAATATTAATCGTTAAAAATATTAGAAGTCAGTAAACCTAGAGTTAACTTAGAAAAGTTTTTTATATTAATCAGGGTATAGAACAAAGAGTATAATATGAATGATTCATTGAACATTATGGAGACACAGCGGGTTAAGTCAATCACACCCTGCCTCAGGCTCCTGACGGACTGCCTCTTACTATGACTTTCCCTTCTTTACATCACTAGTCTTATATCCCATCACCATGGGGACGCAGTCTGGGGCTCAACCACAGCGACATGGCAGCATGGCCCAGAGGAGGACAGCTGGAAGGCAAAATGAAAGCACCCTTGGTCTCCTGAGCCAGTCATCAGATTAGGGTCGTTGCAAATTGGCACAATCGTGCTAGTCAGACAAGTTTTGTTTGACTTGCTGATGGGCTACCTAGTGAATCTAGATGGCATTTAAAAACAGTTCAGATAAGGGAAATATATGAAATGGAAAACAATGCACATAACAGAGCTATAACATAGTCATTTTGCTATGGAAAAGATAGTTTAGTGGTTAAGAGACTAGTGCTCAATATATGTCTTATACATGCATGCAATTCTTTTTTGCTAATCAGAATAGCCTTACTCTCACCTCCCAGTAACAGAGTCTTTGATCACTGTTAAGACAGTTAAATTCGTTAATGTGTCTGTGATCTATTTCTTGAAATTGCTTCTGAATGTGTGTCCCCTTCTCTGAAAAGGTAAGCCTGATTATATGCATGACTTCATATTTTCAAATATTAACTTACCTGGTTTTTGTCAAGTGATAATTTTGAAAGGTCTTCATGACTTCCTAAAATCCCCAGTTTCTTTTCTTCATTTCTCTTTTAAAGAGAGAGGGGTGAATCAGTACACCTGCACAGCCCATTTCACTCTTCATTCCATATTTTAAAAGCCATCTGGTCTAATTTCCCAACAAGGTTTAGTGAGAGGAACATATTCTTATTGGGCTCTTCCCTTTGGCAAGCGCTTGGACGTTTCCTGCGGACACTTAATTCTCTCAACTATAGGTCTAATCAGACCTCTAACTACACACTTGATTCCTTCTACGTGCCTGAAAAGTGGGTGCAAAGGCTGGAGGTCAAATGCCATCCTGCATCTGACCATGACAAAAAAAAAAAATCCAGGAGAATCACAGAAACTCACCCTCAGTAACAATCCCATCTGCTCACTCAACCCACTGAGTTCTATAAGTCATGCATTCTGAAGAATGTCATAGATGGCATGTTTCCCCAACATTCCTATACAAAATCATCATCATCATAGCTACCTTCACGGAGGGCGGTAGAACTACCAAAGTACTTTGATTTGACCTTCATGGTGTAGGTGTAACTTGTTTTTACATATTACAGTTGAGGAAACCAGAACTCAGCGAGTTTACTTACTTGAGAGCCCTAAGTAGTAAAGGGTGGAAGCTGGAACGAGAACGTGTCCCTTATCCTCGAGGATAGAATCTTATCGTGGCGAGAAACTGTGATAATCATTTGGCCCAACTGCTCACTCAATGCGGAAAGGAAGATCTTCAATAAATTCCTAATGCCAGTCAGCCAGCGTTTACTGACCACCTGCAATGACTCTCATCCCTTCCCAGGCAGCTCTGTTGAGCAGATCCTATTCTTTTTTTTTTTTTTTGAGTTGGAGTCTCACTCTGTCGCCCAGACTGTAGTGCAGTGGCCACTCCCAGTCACCGCAGCCTCGACTTGCTGGGCTCCGGCGATCCTCCCGCCTCAGCCTTCCGAGTAGCTGGAACTACAGGTGCGCGCTACCACGCCCAGCTCATTTTTTGATTTATTGTAGAGATGAGGTCTCACCAAGTTGCCCGGGCAGGTCTCGAACCCACGGGCTCAGGCAATCCACTCACCTCAGCCTCCCAAAGGCGCGGGATTACAGGCTGAGCCACCGAGCCCGGCTGCATTCTGTTTCTTATTTTCTATTATCCATGTCTTTTGGGTCTTCTGAAAGATTTCCTCAGCTTGATGTTCCAACTTTTATTTTATTTATTTATTTATTTATTTATTTATTGAGTCGGAGTCTCACTCGGTCGCCCAGAATGGAGGGCAGTGCAGTGGCCGCTCCCAGCCACCGCAGCCTCGACCTCCGGCGATCCTTTCCAGCTCACCCTTCCGAGGAGCCGGAATGACAGGCGCGCAGTACCACGCCCCGCTGATTTTTTGATTCATTGTAGAGATGAGGTCTCGCCGCCCAGGTGGGTCTCGAACCCGCGGGCTCAGGCAGTCTGCTCTCCTCAGCCTCCTATTCTTACGAGTTTGTTCTCACACAGAAATAGAGCTCGACTACTTGAAATCTGAAACTTGCCCACGGCCTCCCTTCCTATATTTGAAGGAACAGAAAACAAACGTACTCCCTAATCAAAGATGGAAGTTCTGAAGATATTCTTGTTCACCTGCAATCTTCTGTTTTCAGAAGAAACAGCCAGTTCCTTCAATCTGCCCTCATGTGGCACTATACTCACGCCTGTCGCCATTCCAATCCTCCCTGTCTGGATGCACATAGTATCTCAGGGCTCCCTCTGGGTATAATGTCCTGCACTCAGCAGAGATTTTGGCACAGAGTAACCACATACCTCCAGGTATACACAAATTCCACACATTCACTAAGCATATCTGAACATGCTGTGATCACCCGACCTCCTCATCTAAGCACTATATAGTAAGTCCCCTACATATGAACATTCAAGTTACAAACTTAACAATACACACGTGCATTTTTCATGTATTATTTCTCTCCACCACGTGTCAGGATAGCCTATCAAATACATGCAGTACTATATAGTCAATTGTGTTAGTTGGGTATCTAAGCTAACTTTGTTAAGACTTACAACACATGGACTTATGAATGCACTCTTGGAACCGAAGTCGTTTGTATGTTGGGAACTTCCTGTTCCTCTTTTGTGGTTTCTTAGGATTGCATCGCCTCATGGGATTATTGATTTCACTTAGTATCCTTAAATCTTTATTTCAATACTTCCCTCCAAGCCTAGTCTCTCATATTGCACGTGAGCAATTTTTCAACGTAGAAGTTATTTAACAATCTGTCTAGTTCATCTGAGTCATCATCAGCTGATATGGTACCCAGCTCTACAAACTGAAGGTGGAGCAAGGGACACTTAGCCACAACAGCAAAATATGGGGCCCGCAAGTGCTTTCCCTCTCAGTACTCCCTCCAGATAATGAAATAGATGATCTCAGTTACATTTCATGAATTTTTCTTTTTCTTTTTTTAGTAGGAGAGGCCCAGTGTGCTCACGTTAAGTAGATAGAAGCCAAAGGACCGTCCTGTGTCCAGTGACTGCACTGGGGGATGGAAGGACATGTCATCATGAACTGTTTCTTTCTAAAGGACTGTGACACGGTGGCTACCAAGGTCATAGCATTCAAGGATACGATGATAAGTTGTCAAGCCAAGTTACCTTGTTCATCTCTGCATCCTCCTGGAATCCCTTTTTATGACGCTGGAACAGCTCAAAAATCCATTTTTTAAGCTTCAGCAAGAGATAAAACAGGGACTTTGGACTTGGCACCAGGTTGAAGGGAACAGGAAGCGTCCTCCCCTCCTCAAAGTAGGAAAACCAAAGTTTGGCCCTTGCAAATTTCCATTCCACATCAGCATCATCCTATACAAACACACACACACATGGCAGTTCAGCAAGGAAATGCTCACAAAGACTTCCTGGGATGCTTTTAACATCATGTAGCTCGAGGGTAGAACAATGCCTACAAACACTCTCGGACCTCAAAGACCACGCCGGGATTTTTTTCAAAACATTAATGCTCTATTCGCACATTCTTTCCTAAATCTGTCTAAAATTTTATCAGGCTTCCAGGACCACAGATCCCAAAGCTCACCTATGTTTATAAATACCCTGAACGATATAAATGAATTTTCCTACATTCTGCCACACAGTATGAAAAATTATTCCTTTACTCTGCAATAGATCACTCATTTATTTAGGAGACAAAACAAGATTTCTGGAATAAAAATGTATCACTCTCAACTTGAGAAAGGATCAATTTTGAATATCACTCAAAAAAAGTGGTGTTCATAAGCTGTAATTTCTTGAATGAAGTATAAATTCATGCTAATATAGCGTGTCTAAAGGTTTTTTAAAAAAATTAATAACAATTTGGCATTTCTATTCCTTATGCCTTCCTGCCCCAGCAAACCCTATCAACGTGCCTTTGGAAGCAAATAGTTCGAATTTTCTAGATTGCTTGCCAAACAAGTATATAAAAGCAGGAAAAGAACAAAGGAGAGAAAGCAGTCCATAATTTCAATTCCATTGCCAAGTTGGTTCTTGGAACAGTTAAAACTTATAGACACAGACTATAAAAATGTGTAGAGATTATACCTCAATTTCCTGGAATGAACTGTTGATCATTGCAATTAGCATATTTAGCAAAACAATGACCATTGTGACGTTATAGACTCCGTAAAGAACATAACCAATGTTTTCAATGAATTTGTGATTATAGTTGATGACCACTGACTTCACTTCGGAAAGTCCAAATATAGCCCAGAACAGTGTCTTAAAACTCTCTTCAACACTAGGGAAAAATAAAAGAAAGAAAAAAAAATAAAAGAAAAGGTTTAAATAAATAAATAATAGCACCATAATAAAAGTAAGTTGATAGAGTGTCTGCAAATTACTAAACATTAATGAAAAAGTCTTAACTTCTCTGAACCACGTTTTTCTTTTCTGTAAAATAGATACAATATGACTACTGCGAGGATGAGGTAATACTATGCATGAGAAGTATACGTCATGGCTCAATATCTGTCATATACTAAGCATGCAGTAAATACTATTAGCATAACTTCATAACCACAGATATTACCATTTAAATAATCCACAGCTTTGGTTATGGAAGTGTTACATGTATTACTTAAAAGTAACACAATTTGTAAAAATGCATTTAGGTTTCCTGCTGTTCTAGACTTCTAATCATATTCAATTGACAGATAATAATAGACTATATCTTAATGGAAAAATCACAATATAAACAGATGATGTTACCAAAAATCACTGACATGTCTTAGGTAGGAATTTCTTTTCTTTCTTTCTTTCTTTTTTTTTTTGAGTTGGAGTCTCACTCTGTCACCCAGGTTGGAGTGCAGTGGCACACACGCTCCCGCTTCACCAGTGTCGACCTGCTGGGCCCAGGCAATCATTCCACCTCAGCCTTCCAGTTAGCCAGAACTACAGGCGTGCACCCAACTAATTTTTTGATTTATTGTAGAGATGAGGTCTGGTCAAGTTGCCCAGGCTGGTCTCGAACCCATGGGCCCAGGCAATCCCCTCATCTCGGCCTTCCAAAGTGCTGGGATTACAGGCTTGAGCCACTGCTCCTGGCCAGGTAGGAATTTCAATGCTTTAGACAAACTTATTGACCAAAGCTAAGTCCATCTGCTTAACCTAAGTGGTTTAATTTTCCTGATAAACTGCATTTTGGAAGACTATGAAAAGCAATAGGTTTATTCAGTTGATGTTTCTTATTGTAACACCGAAGACCTAACATTGGAGCGACCTATTCCAAACATGTTTCATACAAAACACAGGTGACCATGGCGAACATGAGTCAAAACTCTTGTCACTATTGATAACTTGGATCTTCCTTGTGATAAGACCCGAGAAAACGAGTTAGGCCCAGGAGTCTGCCCCTGTAAGCAGAAGGGCGTGAGAGTTCAGAGCGACAGCCCCTGGGAGCAGCCAGCTAGGCTGGCTGTGCCGCGCCCTAGCAGCTAGGGAACATGCAGCAGACTTCTTCACCTTCGTGATTCTTTCATGCTTTTCTTTTTGTCAAAGGGAGTGAATAAACGGATGCATGGAAGACCTTTACCACAAAACCTGGCTCTACAAAATGTCAGTCATTATTTAATATCAGGAGGTTTCCACATCTTAAAGTGTAGATCTTAAACCAAAACATGATTTGTCCCATGGACGTACATAAAAACTACTAAATGAACATGTATTTAGCTCGCCATAACTATCATCAAAATGTCTGAGATTACATACGTCGTGAAGGCTTCGTTTTGTTTTGCACCAATGTAGTAGGAGTAGAGGTTGAACATTCCGATCATAAAGGCCACAAACACCATGATGAATATGACCATGAACTTGAAGATGTCTTTGACCGTTCTCCCAAGCGATATCTGTAGAGGTCCAAAGCTTTCATTTGCTGGTAAAATATAAGCTATTCTAGAGAAACTTAAAACTACAGCAATTGCATAAAGACCTTCAGATATTATTTGAGGGTCCGAGGGGTCCCACTTGATCCTGGCTAGGAAAAAGCAAAGACAAGAGTTGTGGTGAGTTTCTTCAAGTTGCTTATTTAGGCAACTTCTTTTTCTGAGGAAGAAACATGATTACATTAGCAATGCAATTCTAGAAGAAGTCTCTAATCTTAAAGGGGGATTAAGTGTCAACAATAGTTAAGCTTCAGGATTTGTTGAGAAGGTGAGCCTCCTGGCTTGCGAGTAATTTCCCATAAGGATAGAGTAACAGTTAAGAGCTCAGACTGATAACTCAGAGTCTGTGAAAATTCACACACACACACACACACACACACACACACACACATACACACACACACACGGGGAACTCCAAAAGATGGAATTTATTTATAAAAAATTGTGTAGTCTTATGTTTGAACTTCAGTCACCTTCAAATTATTCTCCGTTTGATGCAATACACCTACTGAGATGCTTTTCCCACTGCTCAAAACAGTTTCTGAGCAGATCTATTTTGATGCTGGCTAGTGCTTCTGCTGTTTGTTTCACCTCTTCAACAGAAGAATGTTTCCCTTTGAGGACTTTTTTCATCCAGGGAAACAAAAAAAAAGTCACTCAGGATGAGATCAGGTCAATAGGGAGGGTGGGTATGGGTGTCACACCATTTTTGGTCAAAAACTGCTGAATACTCAGCATGGTGTGAGCAGGTGCCCTCATAAATTCGCCATCATGAAATGGGCAAATGTGTTGAAAGAATCTCCAAAAACTAATTCTCTGAAGCCAAACACACAGTACTAGCTGGTCCACTGATGCCAATGGGCTCCTAGAACATTTACCTAGAGGGGAAAGCCTATATTACAAGGGATTCTCCCTCAAAAAAAAAAAAAAAGATAATTCTCATTTTGGGGGCGTATCCCTCTCATACACATATCAACTGAAAGAACTTGGCAAACTACTTAACTTCTCTTGGTTTTGTTTCCCCATCTTTAAAGATGAGATGATATCCCTAATTTTTTCATCTGTGAGAATTCAATAAGTCAACATGCTCATTGGTTAGCAAATGACCGGCACTTAATAAATGGTAGCATTTATCATTAAATCTTAAACTATAATTACACTATAACATAATTATGGGCTTGTAGTCAATTAAGCTTATTAGGAGTAACTTTTATCAGTCACTCAAACAAGTCTATTTTTACCATAAAATGTAGCAATGAATGTAGCAAATTCACTTTTGAATTTTTATGTGTCTGGCATTATTACATCAGGGTCATCCAAACCCCAATTAAGAAACCATTATGAAGAAAAATACAAAGCGGTTGGTAAGAACAAAGAAAAATATGATTATGCATTTTTATGTGCTTATTTACTGAGAAGTGGAATTAGGAAAAGATAATGAGAAACTAATAAAAGCAGTTTCCTTTTTTATAGTGCTTTTGAACATAGTGTTTATATAAATAAGTAGCTTTGACTTTTAAAAACTGCATATTTTAAAAATCTTTAAATTAAAGATTAGAATTCTAAAGATAAATAAGATACGGGGCCCCCTCTGTGAGAGAGCCAATAAACCCATAAAGGTGCCAAGTGAACGTTAACTGATTTCTCATCAGCGGATTTAAAGTGAGTATGCAAAGGGCATATATTATCCCCAACACAGGTTTCCACGAGGAGGTATTTTCCTTATGCAAATCACTGAGCCCATCTGCATCCTTAGCCTCTTTCCTTCTGGGGAGGTGGCAGGGCTTATCTGACTGTAAACGGGGATAAGTGACCGGGCATCCTTGGTTTGACAATGCCTTCTTTCTCTTGGGAGTTCTCCTCTGGTCCTCCAAGGAGGAATCTCGCTTGATCAGACATCTGCTGCCATCCCCTCACGTGGGAAAGACTTCCGGGTCCATCGCCATCTGCCAGCTGGCGGACATGTCTGCCTAATTCTGGGGTTCACTGTTACTGCGCCCACCCGTTAACAGACTCAGGTCTGGGCCACACACTCTGAATTTCTCAGTTTTGGAGGGGATGATCTCCGATTTAACTCCCTGTTTTACTTCTCAACTAGTTCAAACTCTGGTTGGGAAACAGCGGTGTGATATATTGGGGGCCCTCTCAGAGATCCCAATAATTCCTTTGCAAAGTGTGCATGTCCGGACTGAAAATGGTACTCAAATGTCAACTTTATATTGCATATATTTATGAGGTACAATGTGATGTCTGGACATATCTATGCATCGTGCAATGACTAAATCAAGCTAACGTATCCATCCCCTCACATACTTATTTTTTTGTGACGAGAACATTTAAAATTTACTCTCTTAGCAATTTTCAAGTATACAGTAACTTACTGTTAACTCCAGTCACCATGCCATACAATATGCCTCCAGGAATCATTCCTCCTGTCTAACTGAAACTTTCTGCTTTTGACCAATACTTTCCCACCCCAGCCCCTGACAACAATTACTCTCTAATTCTATGAATCTGACTTTTTTTTTAGATTGCACATATACCTGAAATCATGTACTATTGACCTTCTGTGCCTGTCTTAATTCACTTAGCATAATCTCTTCCAAGTTCATTCATGTTATTAGAAATGACAGAATTTCCATCATCTTAAAGGCTGAATAGTATTCCATTGTGCATATATACAGACATACATAAATAGATATAGATGGAACGCAAAATATTTTTAATAGAAGAGAGGAAAAAATAAATTCAAGACATAAGACTTGCATTTTCAATGAAGTCTGGTAATTAGTCAATTGATCTAAGAGATAGAGGGAGGTGATTCTTGTGACTAGGAGAGGTTTTTAGGTAGCAGAAACATCAAAGAAAGAAGCAGAATACATGTATCTTCATGCAACCAAAATTTTTATGAGAATTGGGCAGTAACCAAACTACTACAAAAAATATCTGCATGTGTATTAATTTTCATTGACTGTGTACTGTCAACTCACCCAAATTGTAGTATTTCACATTGTCTCCCAACGTAACTTTTGTCAAGTCCTTCAAGGTATCATTTGCATCAATGATGCTCTGGGCTTTGGAAGCATGCCAAAATGCCATGAATCTTGCAATGAACGATGCTGCAAAAATTGCCAGCATACCAAAGTCAAGCATATTCCATAGCTCAAACAAGTATTCCTTGGGGCCTTGAGTCCAAATTTCTTTGCATTCAGCCCATATCATGCCTGCATCAGAAAGGGATTAAAATACCAATTCAATTTCTTTCCAGCCTTAGCTCTTCAATAAAACAACATAAATTTGAAAGGTCTCAACCTGACATTCAAAACCCCTCAATCTGGCCCCAACCAGCCTGTGCACTCACAATTCCCACATCCCCACAAATCCCACCATCCAGTAGGATTGGTGCATTATCTGAAAGCAATTTGACAAAGTTCATTGACAGCCTCAAAATGGCAAACAACCTGTTGATCAATTAATTGTACACATAAAACATATTGAAGAGCTTTTTTATCAGATACTTTATAACAATCAAAACACACAAATACAGCCATCCCCGCACACTTAAAATAGAGGTAATCATGGGACTTCCACAGATGCGGTACTTTTTTTTTTTTTTGAGTTGGAGTCTCACTCCGTTGCCCAGGCTGGAGTGCAGTGGCCGCCCCTGGCCACCGCAGCCTCCACCTGTTGGGTTCCGGCGGTCCTTCCGTCTCAGCCTTCCAAGTATCTGGAACTACAGGTGTGCGCTACCACACCCAGCTAATTTTTGATTTATTGTGGAGATGAGGTCTCGCCAAGTTGCCCAGGCGGGTCTCAAACCCGCGGGCTCAGGCAATTCACTCACCTCAGCCTCCCAAAGCGCGGGATTACAGGCTGAGCCACCGAGCCCGGCTCACAGATGCAGTATTATACAGACATTTAACATGATATTTTATTAAGTACCATGGGGTAGTGGCCATAAAAATGTGCCAGAGTGCCCTCCAAATGTAGGAATTTGATCAACCATGGGCCTCAGCCTCTGCCTTCTGGAAACCACTGCCACTTTTCTGTCCAAGACCATGCTTCCCCAGGACTACCTCTAGCCAGTGACTGAGGGTGCCCCTTCCCAGAAGACACGGGACTCTTCTGATGGCTGACTTTGGCGATGAAAGTTTCCATAGATAGCATAAGAATCTAGAAGCTTCTACCCAACCTTCCTTCCCTCCCTCCAGCCCTTGGGGCTTGACTTGCATCCCCATCTGACAGCCGTTGAGACCTTCCTCAGCTCAGTCTCCCAATTTCCTCTGACAAGAAATTTTCCGTAATAAAATTTCTATTTTCATTAGCAAAAATGTTGAACATTTCATCGCTGTGCCTGCTTCTCGGAGGACCGGGACTAACACACATTGGAAAATCTTTATGTCGTAATGTTGAGTGAGAAAGTTTTAAATGTTATATGATGTGATCTAAGACTTTGTGTTTAAAACAGAATAGGGAACGGCTGGAAGGAATGGCAGGAACGTACTCATCATAGTTATTTTTTTCCAGTGGAATTGCTCATAATACTGCATATTCTTTCAAAATGTTAGTGTGGTATTGAGGAGCATGGGTTTTGAGATCAGACCACCGTGCACGCGAGACCCTGCTCGTCCACTTGCGAGCTGTGAAGTCTCTGGCAACTTACATATGCTTTCTAAAACTCAGTTCGTAAAATGGGGTTGACAGTTGTTCATACCAATCCACAGGATTGCTATGAGACTTAAATTGAAGAGTGTGTGTCAAATACGTAGCACGGTTTCTGGCTCTTAGAAAAACAAATGAGTAACATTAATTGAGCCCTTACCATTTTAAATTTTCTACGATGGGCACATATTTTCTTTCTTAGTTTGAAGAATCTCGCCTTATTAAAAATAAATTACTGGGCCGGGCGCGGTGGCTCGAGCCTATAATCCCAGCACTTGGGGAGGCCGAGGTGAGGGGATTGTCTGAACTCCCGGGTTTGAGAACAGCCCGGGCAACTTGGTGAGACCTTGTCTCTACAATAAATCAAAAAAATTAGCTAGGTGTGGTAGTGTGCACCTGTAGTTCCAGCTACTTGGAAGGCTCAGGAGGAAGGATCGCCAGAGCCCAGCAGGTCGACGCTGGGTGGCCGTGAGCGTGCCACTGCACTCTAGCCTGGCGTCAGAGTGAGACTCCAACACACAAAAAAGAAAAGAAAAAGAAATTACTTTGCCCTATTGTCTTTAAGGTACCCTGCTCTGACATCCTGCTTCTTCCTGGAGCCATCCAGAGAAATAGAATCCAGACTCCAAAAACCTACCAAAGAACCTTCCATCAAGAAGTCTTTTCTAGACCTTAGCCGAAATATATCTTCCCCTCAGCAACCACTGCCCTGAATTCTCACAACGAATGTCAATCACAGAAGCTGCCATGTTCGTGACTTTGGAGCCCTGTAGGGATTAAGAAAACACTCCTCGGTCTTGGCTCTCCAAGAGCGATGTCAAGTGCTTTTTCTCAAAACCAGCATCCAATGTAGCACAGAAGACGGGGTTATAAAAGAAAACTCCATGACTTATTTTGAGTTATTTCAAGTTAAGAGGGGACTAGGACTGAATTCGTGTGCACACGAATTCATACGACATGCACACGTGTGCACACACACACACAATCACACACACTAAAACTGTGAGCGGGGATGAGAAAAAATCTGAAAGCAAGTTTATTTCTGTGGTCCCTAACTCCTGCCAGCCTCGACAGGAGATGAGGACAATTCAGAATAACAAGCAGAAACCGAAGGGACATTTGAACACATATAAGTCCAGTCGTTTTCAAAGCTTCTTCTCCTCCTCTTCCTTCTACTTCTGCTCCATCTTTTCTCTCCCTCTTTAAGAAGTAGCATTCTTGGTACCAAGGTCTTGCCAAAGCTTAAAAACTAAGACAAATCCAGCGAACTATTCTGCCAGAAGGAAGAGTGCCTGTCTTATTTCTCCCGAGGACCTCCAGCAGCAGCCAAGCATAGCCTGAAATCACTCCCCACTCCTCCCAGCGCAAGCTCTCTCCCAAGCTGGGGGCTTCCCAAGGAACCAGCCCCCTCTTGGCTATGTCTGGAGACGAGGCGCTTCCTGATTCTGAAGGCTGCTCACTCCCTTGTAGAATTTTCAGGAATATTCCTCCAGTGTGGATCTGCTGCTTCTGTTTTGCCCTCAAGAACAGTAGCAAGTGAGCTCCCTCTTCCTTTAAATTTCTTTTTTTAAAATAAATAATAAAACATGCCACCCATGCACTCGTTAAATCGACTCTTCTCCAGCAGAGGTTGGTCTATTGTGAAGCCAGTGAAGCTTGGGCTTCGAGACGCCTAAGCCGTCCAGGCTCCACGGGTCCTGACTTTGCCTTCTTTTTCTCTAAAGGGGCCCTCCCATCACGAGCCTCCGTTTCCACAACGCTTGGCTCCCACCGCCCTCCCCATCCTCTGGGGTTCAGGTTCCCCATCCCTCAAGGGCTGCTCCATGGAGGAACAAGCTGGGGTGTCCATGGGCGGCCTGTGGCACCCAGAGCCATGCACCATCCGGGAGATGTGGCCTGGCCACGGGGGTGATTACGGCCCTGGCTGCAATCCTCCCCTGTGGAAGAGTTCACCCACGGCTGCACTGGCTTTTTCAGCAGGTGTACTGGCTATTCGTGGCGGGGCCTCTTGAGGACACTTCTCACGAGTGTCTTAGGCACGTCCCCCTCCTGTGCTCCCGCAAATCTTTCCCAAGAGTGTCTTCGGGCATGTCCCCCTCCAGCGTGCCTGCACATCTTCTCATTGGCTCAACCTTGGAGTCTCCTGAAACACCCGTTTTGTCATTCAGCCTTTCAAATTGTTGTCAACTAGGAATTAGATAAACTTGCTTTGTGACCAATAAGGTCAGTCCCTCCCTCAAGACAACATAACATGACCAACGTCTAACCTAAGTAGGCCACTAATTATTAATATTTCCGGAAGGGAAAACAGCTTTCATTCAAGAATAACTTCAGAAGAGAAAATAAATACCAATGTCAGGAACTGAACCAGGAGACTAACAAGTCAAAAACAAAGGTTAGTGGGACAATGTTTCCAAAGAAAAAAAAATTGTAAAATGATATTAAAGGCTAACTTAATATTCTGGTTTAGGCTTCTAAGTGAAAAAGAAAAAATCATAAGTTTAACATAAAAAATTAGTATGAGGAGAGTCAATTATGACAAACAATAAAATGAACATTCTTTACATGTAATCCCCTGCAATAAAATTTAATTTTTTAAAGTTTCATCTTATACTAGAGTAATGTTTTGCCCAATATGTCTTCAGAAGGAAATATCACTTCTACAGAAAAGTAACATATGAAAATTTAGTGAAAATTTTAATAATTATAATTACTCAAAATTTCTCAAACATTTCTTACGTGCCAAGCCCTGCATTATGTACCATACACGTACTAAAACATAAAAAACAAACAAACTGTAACACATAGGCTCTTAATCTAATAAGATAAAGGCAACGTCCAAATCATTTTATTTAGAATCATCTTAAATCAGATATCAGAGGTGAAATGCACCTTCTTTTTATAGTTTCGCCAATTAGATTAGAAAGAAAATAGAATAAAATCAAAGTCCTATTTTTTATCCAAGATTTATCACCACTTTGATGACACAGTTTGCAATTTAAGCCACTATCCATATTCTTCCTAGAAACATAGTCAGGAAATGAAATGATGCGGTAGTTTTGCATAACTCACATGCTGTTGAATTACCTCACATTTCAAATGGTCATATGGTAATTTGCAAAATGCTTTTTAACATTTTGGTCATTTCATCAGGCGCCAGCATGAAGAAGGCAAGAAGACATGCCATGCCCTAGAAGTCACACAAAACTGCAGGTGCTTCTCCGGGTTACCTGGGAGGCTGGTGGAACAGGGGAGGGGTGGACAAACTTGTGTATATTCAAGTTTCTCTATGAAAGTCCCAGGTGTCCTCTTCTCATGACATCTTGTATCCTTGCATCCTAGGCAATTTCATGCATGGCCAGGGCTTTGGGTACCATCTGGGAACTGAGGATTGCTGGAACTTTATCTACAGCTTGGCTTTGCCCAGAGGTCATCCTTTCTCTCACTTAGTGGCCATTTTTACCTGGAAATTCCATGAGCACTTCAAAGTCAATCACAAGCCAAACTTAATGATCAGCTTTTTATTCCCCAAGTTCCAGGCATCATCTTTTGTCTACATACTCCCTCCTAGGAGCTACAGTCACCACCTGTTGACTCAAGGCAGTGTCCATAGCTCTTCCTTCCAATGGGCGGTCAGGTCCAAGTTCGCTGGAGTCTATGGTTAGGGAGCTCTCATGTCTGCCTCCCCGGCCCTGGGTTCTAGCTCTCGTCCTCCTCACAGGGGTCACTTCAATGGTGTCTCGTTCTCGGAACTCACCCTCCTTTCAGCCACCCTCTATCTCACGGCCACGGTCACCTTCCATATTGTGACCTGATCACATCACCAATGACGAGGACTCATTCTCTCAGCATCTCACACGTCCACCAACATGAGTGGACTCCAGCTCTGCCTGATTTATACTATTCCAGGCATGCTGGGTGTGGCCATGGTCCAACATCTCTGCAGGAGATGTGGAGGAACATGCGCTCCAGTTAGGCCAGCATCAACTGAGTAAAGTGGATACATTAAATGGAGGAAGGAAATCTCAGAATGAGATAGAAAGAAGAACTGCAGAAGCTGAAGACTGGGCTCTAAAGCATATGCTGCTGGTTCCGGCAAACAAAAGGCTAGCAAAAGTCAACTGCTCCTGTTAAAGAAACAAAACTCTGCAATCAATTAGCCGCTTCACAAACCTCTGGCAATGCATGTAGTCAGTTTGCAAAACTTCTCCATAACTGACAGGCAGTTCCCCGGCACACACTGAATCCCAATACAATAGTATAAAGGCTTCCCTGTAGCCATTGCCTCTCTGCAGACAGCAGACACTCTTGCAGCTGTCCTGCCTGCTGTGGCTTTCACAACATATCTTCCCTTGAATAAATCTCTTTCTTAATTCATAACAGTCCTGGTGAACACTTTCACCCCATGACTCCTGCCTGTCTGCCACACATGGCAGTGTGTACTTATCCTCCAAACTCAGTCTGGTTAACACCCCTGTACCTCCAAACACTTCTGCTGAAGGCAGTGTCCAGGGAGGACTTCTCTGTCCTTCCATCTGCCAGCTCACTCTGATTGAAGTGCCCCGCCCTTGCGTGTGCATAACACCCTAACAGCCCCTCCATGACAGCATCTGTCACACTGCATTTGTAATTATTGATTTACTTACCGATCTGCTCCCCAGACTTAACCTCCTGGAGCATAAGGACCACATCTCATTCACCTTGATATCCTCATTACCTAACAAAGGCACTTGACAGCTGTGGAATCTATTTATAAGCATCCAATTGAAATATCTTTCTCATTTGCATTATGTTTAATGGAAGCCACACATATGATTGATTCTAAGCACAAATCGTGCAGCGTTTAAGACCAAATTCCTTCTCTTTCACTTACCACCTGGGACATTTCAGTAAATTACTTAAGCCTCACATTAATCCTAGGAGATAAAAGTGATTAGATGTTACAGATTTTAAAACGGAGGTATAAAGAGATAGCAGGATTTGACGTACGTAAAGTGCTTTGGACAATTCCTGGTACATAATAAATGTTCATTTAATGCAAGTGGATGTTAGCTTCAGTCACTATCAGACCTCAACAGAACATCACGTGGTTGTTTTTAAGCTTGAAATCACAGCTCTCTCAAAATATGAATGGCAGTATTTGTTGCGGGTGGGGTTTGATTGACACCATCCTGTTGGTTTTCTTCCTGGGTGTTTCTTGGAAATGCCAAAAGCATGTGAGAAGACTATAGCAGTGGTAATGAACCCAAGGTGACCATGCTTAAGAACACAGAGGAAATCCTGGTGCCCAGGGCACTGCTGCATACATATGTATAACTGAGAGTGAAAGACTCAGTGCCATTCAGTCTGCCCGCTAAGGCTGCGAAAAGAAATGATGACAGAAATCAGCCTTTACCTATGACCCAGGATATGATGAGCATCTCCATCCACGAGAAGCAAGATGTTTTCATCCTGAACAGCTGTTTTGCATTGTCTGTGCTGGTTTCATTAGGAAGCAGTTTGGTGCCTTCAAATCTGTCCGCTGCGTTCATGACTAACAGTCCCAGGAAAATGGTGAAGGAGGCGGCATGTGCCACAAACTTCATGAACGGCCCACGCAAGATCTTCCCCATCTGCCACGACACACACCAAGGGAAAGTCTTAGCTTGGCTTTGTACTCTTCACAAAACATACACAATACATGCAAGAATAAACATCTGGTCGGGCTCGGTGGCTCAGCCTGTAATCCCGTGCCTTGGGAGGCTGAGGTGAGCGGATTGCCTGAGCCTGCGGGTTCAAGACCTGCTTGAGCAACTTGGTGAGACCTCATCTCTACAATAAATCAAAAACTAGCCGGGCGTGGTAGCATGTGCCTGTAATTCCGGCTACTCAGAAGGCTGACGCGGAAGGATCGCTGGAGCCCAGCGGGCCGAGGCTGCGGTGGCCAGGAGCGGCCACTGCACTCCAGTCTGGGCGACGGGTGAGACTCCAACTCAAAAAATAAAAAATAAAAAAAGAATAAACATCTGCCTACTCCAGGGTTCTCCTAAGACCATTTCTATTTAGTCACTAGCAATAGGACAATAATTTTTATGCTGTTATAAAAATGTGTTCACATTCTTCATATACATGGGCTGATGTTCTTGATGAATAAACTTACTTTCCTATTAAAGGATATTTAAGTTCTTAAAGTATTATAACATGCAGAGTTTAAAATCAGCATTATTTATGGAAAGCAAACGGATTTAGCGGGCCCTAAGTATTGAGGAAGTAGCAGGGAAAAGATGAAACTGGGTATCTTTAGCAAGGTGTAGGCCCTCTGTCGTTAACCTCGTGTATATTTCGTGACATGTGTGCCATTCAGGCCTCAGCTGATGTCACCTTGGTAATGTTGCAAATGGAGAAAAAGGTATGAGTGATAGGAAAACAACTTCCAGCCAAGGACAGGCAGCAGGTCCCTGGAACAATGTCCTGGCAGGACCCTGGGTTTAAAATCCAATATTGTAGGTCAGGTTCCAGTTTCATTCCTTCATTAGAGAGTGACAATGAATACATTTCCTAAATTATGGGAGAACCAGATTCTTTGTTAGAAAAATGGAAACAATAAGAGTTACTGTGCCTTTTTTAGTATGAGATGCATTTCTGTCTGAAATGCATATCTTGGCCCAGGCAGGGAGAAGATCAAGGATGTGACTAAGGGCTCTGGACACCACAGTAAACTCACAAAGTGTATGCAAAGTTTTTTCCCCCCTTAGGAGAGGGTGCATAGCTTTCAACAGCTTTTCAGGTGAGCTTAATATTACAGAAACATTTATAAATTAATAAAATATCATCAACACTCAACTGGTACTGGTAAGAGCTTTATATGGTTAACTCAAGTCATCATTACAACAAACCAAAGGGGTAAGTACTACTGGAATGTCCACTTTGGACGAAGGCACTGAGGATGTGAGGTCAAGAAACTTGCTAAGGCCACCCGCTCCCAAGGGGTGGAGTTAGGATTTGAACCCAGGCATTCTTGTTTCAGAGTTCATGCTTCTGTTTGGTTTACAAAACAATTTCACACTTTCTCACCAGTGCTCACACATAGGTAAATTATTAAAGAAGAAAAGTATCTTTGAAGACTTGGAAAGTGAAAGGAATACAATCAGTGTTCTCTATTTCTATTACCTTCATTTGTCCATGTGACTTTCAAACTCATAAGAGTTAGAGTTGCAGTGAGTCGTGTTATCCAACCCCTTCTCTCTTAATATTTTGAACCTTAGACCAGGCAGAGCATCAGGAGATGGATATCTGTTCCTATGTATCCATGGAGAATTTGTTCCAGGACCCCTCTGAGGACACCAAAATCTGAGGATGCTAAAGCCCCTTGTATAAAGTGGTACAGTGTTTGCATATAACCTACGCACATCCTCCAGTGTACTTTAAATCACCTCTAGATCACTTATAATACCTAATACAATGTAAATGCTATGTGAATAGTTATTATACTGTATTGTTAAGAGAATAATACAAGAAAACAAAGTCTGTAAAGGCTCAGTACAGATGCCATTTTTTTCCAAATATTTTCAGTCCATGGTTGATTGAACCAAAGGATGTAGAATTCATGAATACAGAGAGCTGATAGACATATACATATACACATATAGGTGGTGTAAAAAAATATACACATTTTAAGATATGTTATCTCTGTATTACTTTTCAAAGTTGAATTGAATTACAGTAGCAATGTTGAGTATAACATTCACTCAACCATGCTTCTGCCATTTTCTTTGACTGTCCCTATATATATATTTATATATAGTCATATATGTATATATAGTTATATACTTATATATAGTTATATATATTTATATATATGTATATATATATATAGTTTAAAGCCAACAGATCCATCTAGCACTGCAAAGTCAATCCAAAGTTACTTCGTGAAAATTTGCTGTAAAAATAATATCTAAAAACCATATTCCATAAGATTGCTTATTACATTGATTCAAAGAGTATTTTTTAAAGATCCTTTAAAAACCTAACTCTCAAATAATCAAATGAGGACAAAGTTAAAAGATGTGGCCGACAAAGTATGTTTTGTTTTCTTTCGACTACTGTCCTTAGCTGCTTTTCTTTTTCAATGTAAAAGTTTAAAAATGAGCCTCCATGTGTCTTTAACTTATTTTATGTTGTGCCATATGTACCATCTTAGTCCTATAATGTTTAAGACATGATTTATTTTAATCACATATTCAAGAAAATGAAAATTGGTTGTAAGAGTCCATATCTTCCTCCTGGGAAAAGCTATTGTAAACCTTAAACCAATTTTTAGAAATTCTCAATTTATTTGAAGGCTTTGGGAAAACTTGGATTAGGGGGCTAGTGGATTACTCCAGAAAGAATAAGAAGCTGTGTTCAAGGACATCAAAGATACAAGAGAAGCACAGATTAAAGCAGAACCAAATATATAAGTGCATAGAAAAATAAAGGAGGTTGAGGACATTAAATGGGGTTGAAAACAAAACTATCCACATGGGAATAGGCCACAAGTTTGATAGCTCTGGAATCCCCACTCAACTGTCCTGGACACATCTGACATCATTGTTCGGCTTTCTGAACAAGTGTCTTCCACATGCCTCACCCCAACTGGCCCACCTTCCTTGTCTACTTGGTTACTGGCCCTTAGGTAATATGACTCTATTTTATTCTGAAGGGAGAGAAGAGAAACAAAGTGGGCATTTTTGCGACTTATTAAAAGTTTTCGTTTTCCATTATTTTAAACAAGGAAACAGACAAAAAGTAAAGAAAAAATTGACTGGCTTGAAATTAAAGTGGCATGTCTGAATCCTCATATTTTTTTACTTTGTATTACAAAAATTGAGAGTTGTGTTTTTTCTTAAACTAACAGAGATGAGGTATCCATTTCAGTAAAATAGCCCTCTCTATATGAGAGTGAACCCCTAAAAATCGGAATTATCTTTTTGGAGGGCAGGCCCCTTGTAGTCTAGGCTTCTCGCACTAGGCAAGTGTTCTAGGAACCCACTGGTAACCGTGCACCAGCCAGCGTTGCTGTGAGAGGTTGCATTTGGCTTGGGTGAATTTGGGGAGAAGAGATTTTTTCAACGCGTTTGCCCATTTCATGATGGGTGATCAGTGGCTCAGCCTGTAATCCCACGCCTTTGGGAGGCTGAGGTGAGTGGATTGCCTGAGCCCGCGGGTTCAAGACCCGCCTGGACAGCGAGACCTCATCTCTGCAATAAACCAAAAAATCAGCCGGGCGTGGTAGCACATGCCTGTAGTTCCGACTACTCGGAAGGCTGAGGCGGAAGGATCGCCGGAGCCTAGCAGGTCAAGGCTGCGGTGGCCAGGAGCGGCCACTGCACTCCAGTCTGGGCGACAGAGTGAGACTCCAACTCAAAAAAAAAAAAAAAGGGCACCTGCCAACACCATGCTGAGTGTTCAGCAGTTTTGGACCAAAAACGGCAGGACCCCAGTGGCCCCCTCTCCCTATTCACCTGACCTTGCCCTGAGCAACATTCTTTTGTTTTCCTGCATGAAAAAAGTCCTCAAAGGAAAACATTTTGCTGACGTGGAAGAGATGAAACAAAAAAATGACAGAAGCATGAAAAGACATCAAAATAGATAAGCTCAAAAACTATTTTGATCAGTGGAAAAAGCATCTTGACAGGTGTATTGCACCAAACAGAGATGACTTTGAAGGTGACCAAAGTTTAAACATAAGAATAATGCACGGGTTGTTTTTTTGTTTAAGTTCCATCTTTGGGGTAGTCCCCCTTGCATACTGGGGTATACACAAATTTCTTTTAAAAACTGTAAAGAAGAAGTTTCAGTTGAATAAGTTGAACAACTGATGTATCAGACATGTAATAGAGGGTAAATATTGAAAGAAATATTTGCCTTAAAACAGTATATATTGCATTTTGTTTAGATATGTAATGATGACAGATTATTTAGCTACTCAACAACCATGTAGAAATAAAAAAGTTGAGACTATCTTACCCTAAAATGATTTGAAATTGCAATATGATGCATTTTTATTTTAAGGAGCATAAAACAATGGATATTTGGGTTACAATAGCAGAAAGAGAACAAGTAAGGACAAAAAATAGTTTATGAAAGAAGAGAGAAACTTGGAAAAAAATAAAATCAACTATAAACAAAAACAGGGACTCAGTCAAGGTGCAGAGGCCTACAATTTGATCAGAAATCATTTTCATGGATATACGGGAAACTCTAAGATATTTTAAGTAAAAACATCAATTTAGTTAATTCTCCATCACAAAAAAGCAATTCTGTAGCCAGTAAATAATGCCTATGTTCATGGCTAATGAGAAACGTAAAAGAGATCTTATCATCATGGTTCAAAGGATAAATAACCATCAGTAAAACACATTTTAGACAGAAGAAAAAAATAAAAGTAAAAGTATCCTTTTAATTTGATTATTTGCCTTAGTGTTCATAAACGAGGATGGAAAACAGATGCCAGAAAGAAATATGGACAGGGAAGAAGATATAGCAAGGTAATCAGTTTAATTAAAATTCAATCAAGACTTAAGATGTGTAACTCTAAGGACCGCCAAAAATAGTCTGTGTCAAAGAACCAGACACTCTGGAAGGCATTATGCTTTTGAATTTGCTGGTTATGAATAAGGAAAATTAATCAGTTTAGGAAAAAAGATTATAATTTAATGGATCACAGAGTTAGAACAGGGATAATTCAGAAATTCCCCTCTTTTGATTCAGTTTGAATCTCTAAAGATTCAGAAAACGTAAGGAGAAGCAGAACAAAGAGACCAATGGATAGATATAGCTTATGTCCTAGTGAGGACAGTCTAGAAATCTGTTTGTACAAACTTAAGGGGCACACGTGCAATTTTATTACATTGGGGGGTACAGGGGGACATCCTGGCTATTAGTGTATCCATCACCTGATAACGTACATTGTACCCGTTAAGCAACTTCCCAATACCCACCCCCTTCCCTGCTCCCACTTTTCTGAGTGTCCAATGTCTGTCATTCTACACTCTATGCCCATGTGTTCACATAAAAATTTTTGCAAATTAAAATCTGCCATGTCTATGGAAAAGGGGAAAATACAACTTTCTAGACAAAACTCTGTGCTACAAATGTCATTTCCAGTAGACCTCACTATTTTCATTTCATGTTTCTTCTTTATGTTTTATTTATATGAGCTGTCCATTTTGGCCTTATATTTCAAGGGAAAAAAGTCTAGGATGATGGATTTTACCTTCCTGAGAAAATGCTGTTTCCAGTACTTCCTGTCAACATCACTAGAAATAATTAAGAAGTTCCCACTGTGTAAAAGGTTTTGCAGCAGCTTTCTGGCATGAGCCAATTCAAGTGGTTCTTATGTGGATAAATCCCCAAATAATGACTAAGTAATGAGAAGACAATATGTTGGTGATGGTGATCTATGTGTTTGCACCCACATATTACAAATGTTTGGAAATGAGTCATGTCCGTGTTTAATAACGAGAAGTGAGCCAACCGCTCGCTATTTCTACACAGCACGTTAATAGACGATCCAGCAGACATTTTAGCCACTGAGCTTTAGAATTATTTCCGTCTGCTCTCAGAATTACACATATCCAGGAACATGGCTTCGAAAACATGAAGGGCTGACTTGTTAGCAATGCAGGACACAAATTGCTCTGCCTGGGAGCAGAATGATAGGTCAATATTTCTCAAACTTGTTCTGTCACACTAATGAAAGGCTAGATCCATCAGAACATAGCATTTTCACCAAAGCCTGAGCAGAAAGATTTTGCTAAGAAAACAGGCTATCTTTGCTGCCTGGTTCTGGTGTTCTATGTCCCTAAAATACAGACTTTACCAAAACAAGTGTTACGTTAGTATTTACAGTATCGTCCTTTGTTTCAATTAAGATTGATCTGGCTATATTAGCAACAATAGATACAAGACAAAAATCTTATATTTTGCTGGAGGAGAAACAATGAGAGAAAGTGTTCATCTTTTAGGATATCATTAGAAATATCTGTTCCATGGAACCGTGACCTCATTAAAGCATATACAGTCATGTACAGTATATATACTCATACAGTAATATACACAGAGAAGAGTAAAAGGAAATAAACTAACATAGTAACTGAGATTTTCTTTCACACATAATAATGGCGATATTGCAGGTGGACTTTCTCTTCATTTTTTTCTGCTTCCCACAGCAAATATGTATTATTTTTGTAACATTAAAAACAATGAAGACTATTTAAGCCCAAACAGGTATTATTTTGTAACATTCACAATAGTAGAGATGTGTAAGCCCAAATGTGCTAGCCTGAAATATTCACTTCATAAAGCCCTTCCCCACATAAGACATGTATTTAGTAGATGACAGAAATCCAGGCTTCACGGACATACCTTGCTACATGGGGCCAGCCAGTAGACGACAGCCAGGAAGGGCAGTCCGATGGCGACGGCGAGGACCACGAGGAACTTGACCGCCATCGTCTGCTGCCGCAACCCAGAAAGGTTCTCGTACCATATGGAGAGGAGCTGCTGCTGGCAGTTAGGGTGAGCCACAAACTAGCAGGGAGGTGACAAGACATTCAACAGTTCGATTAAAGAACGCTCTGCAGGAACCAGTTCTGTGTGTCCTAGTATTTATGTATTTACTAATTAATCACTATTATTATTTTTGGAGTCCATGTCTCACTCTGTCACCCAGGCTGGAGTGCAGTTGCACGATCACGGCCACCACAGCCTCAACCTGCTAGGCTCAGGTGATCCTTCTGCCTCCGTCTCCCAAGTAGCTACAACTGCAGGCCCAAGCCACCATGCCCAGCTAATTTTTTTATTTATTGTAGAGACAAGGTCTCCCCAAGTTGCCCAGGCTGATCTGGAAGCCATGGCTCAGGCAATCCTCTCACCTCAGCCTCCCAAAGTGCTGGGATTACAGGTATGAGCCACCACACCCGGCCAGTTCTAATACTTAGTTCTGTGCTTTCTGGTGAAAAATATTGTTAGAACTAAAGAATATAAAACATCTACTAAACAGGCATCAAGCAAGAAGGCAGGAGGTGCTAATGTTATTACATACATTTAAGGCTCCAACAGATCAAATCTTTCCTTTATGACTAATGAGTTTTCTTTCAAAGCAAAATGTTTTTAATATATTAATATTATAGAAAGATTCATCAATGTTTTACACAAGGGCTTTTGTGATTACATTTTTTTCATCTAGGAGTGAGGTAAAGATCATACTAGCCTAGATGCCTAAATATTTAAAAAAAAAAAAACTTGCCTGCACTGACCTAAGATGCCACGCTTATTTTATACTAAATTCCCATTTGTAACTAGGTCTGTTTCTGGATGCCTTTTCTGTTCTATTGATATCTCCTTTTATTCTTGTGCCAGAAACTCTTCCAATTAAGAAAACTTTGAATTATTATTTATTAGGAATCTTTTACTCTCTCATATTTATGTTTTTACAAATGAACCACACATATCACAGAATTAGTTAAGATATAAAAAGCAGCAACCCAAAATAAAAATTGGTAAAGAATATTTAAAAAGTTACATAAAGAAATTACAAATGAATATTAAGGATGGTTTAACCTTGAAGGCAATTAAAACAAGATACAGTGTTTCCTCAGAATGGTAAAGTTTAATAATACCCATTGTGGGCCCAAGAGGTAATACACTGTTGGTATGTATAAAAACAGTTACACCTTTTTTTTTGAAGAAAACTTTAGCAAATGTTTTGAAACCTAAAAATAAAAGTTTGACATATTAATTCTGCATCTAAGAATTTTTTCCTACAGATAAAACTCATGCAAGTAAGGAAGCTACATAAACAAACATGGTTACTATAAAAAAACAGATGAAAATCTTGTAATGAAAATCTAATAAGCATTCTTACGTAGTAAACTGGGCAAATGAATATAATGATATAACATTGCAACCTTTGAAAAGGTGAAGTGTATGTTTATTGACTAATATATGAAGACATAAATCTTGGGAGAGATATAACAGTAATGAATGATTCTCCAATAAGAACTGGAAAGATTGAGAAGAAGCATACTGTTTGAAAACTTACCATAAGCATGTCTTACTTTTATTAGAAAATCTACCTTTAAAAATTCTCTTAAAGATACTTTATATAACTTTTGAAGTCAGGGCATGGGGGCCACTGCCTGATGACAGAGACTAACAATACTCCACAAATAAAGATACACAACTGGGGGAAATTTCTAACACACTGAAGAAGGAACTGAGAGCATTAGCCTTGAACTGGAAAACAGCATCAATTGGGAAAATGGAACCGAGTCCGAAATGATGGTGTTCCTGTCGCATAAAAAATGCCTTGTGTTTTGGATGTGCAAAGTCACCGTGAGGTCATTCGTCAAGTCAAGGAAAGTGGCAACCACTGCCATGCTCTGTAAAAACAAGCCTAGATTTTAAAAAGTGGTGTTTAGTGTGCGTTAAGTGCCTCCCAGCCACATGCTCAAGATTCAATAGAGAATCTGCCTGTATTTGTATACCTAACCCTTAACTGTACCCCACAATATCAAAATAAAAAATACTGATAAAAAAGAAAAGTGAAGGAGAATTGAGCATCTGCCTGAAGCAATCGCCAATTATAAAAACCCAGTTCTGTGGAACAGTGCCAACCCTTTATCCTTATTGAGCGCCGGTAAGAGTGAGATAACGCGAACGAGCTTCAGACCTGACCTTACTTTTTTCACTTCATACTTAATGGCGAGTTTTAGCCGGCTGAGGTTTGGGCGACCGTGGTCCCCGCTCTGCAGCGTCTCGACGTCCCCGTTCAGGATGGCTTCCACCTCTTCCGTGTTTCTGCACAGATCAAGGAGGCCAACCACGAAGTCTTTGCACTGCACCGACAGCTTTTTGTAGTCATTCTAGGAAGGGCGAAGCAAAACAGAAAACAATAATGCAGAAATGGGACGTTTCACCTCACCACGCAGCTGAGTGTTGCAGAGACTGGAAGGATGGTATGCTTTAAGAGAAAAACTCTATTTTTCATTTTGGGTTCTTTTAACATCTTTCAAATGCTGTTCTGTTCACCAATCCCTAAAATATTTTAACATTGTAATGATGGCCTTCATACCCTAAAAAAAGAACAATTGCCTAAAGCATAATCAGATTCTTACCAGAAAAGAATATGCTACACCAAACTCAAGCTCTGTTGATTCTGGAGAAATATAAAATAAGCAATCTTTCACACAGCATGGTGATAGTCCTTTGCATACATCATTCCCTTTATGGTCATAACTTCATCAGCTAGCCACAAAGGATGCATTTAACAGATCTTTGGAAGACTTTGCAAACTGTATTAGCAACCTTGGGAAATGTGGAACATTAGAAAGAGATCCAGAGAAAAGCAGGCCCATACCAACGATCTACTTAACAAATTGTTACTAGGAACTTTATAACCAAGCACAGGGTCAAAAGACGAAATCTAGGTTTAGAGTCTGCAAATTGAGATTCTTCTCTTTAGAGGAAAGAAAGTTTAATGAAGCTGCTTTCATTGTTGTCATTTTGCAGTTTGTGACTGATGACCCAATGTTCCATCGAGGAGATTCAGAGACGGAGGTCACATTCAGATGACAATAATCTTGTGTCATCCTTCTATGTGGCATCTAGTCATGTCTTCCTTCAGGTCTTTCTAATGCTTCTCCCTCTTTCTTCTCTTACAATACGGCCACCAGAACCGAACGCTGTACTACATGTACTCACTCATAAGCTGACGCTGAACAATTTATCATAATACTAAGAAAGAAATTGGCAGTCGTGGGACATCGCCAGGGTGGTGGGGGGTGGGGACACAACATCAGTAAGGGTACCAACCTTAAACAAGGCAAAGTGGGGACCAAGGGGAGGACCAAACTTTACCTGTACAATGATCACTTTTTTTGGTACCTAACCCTGAATTGTACCCCACATCTTTAAAATCAAATAAAAGGAAAATAAAAAAGAAAACAACAACAGAAAGGAAAACCTATCAGCTAGAGCTTGTGGTATTGCAAGTGAATGATACTATCTCATTTAATCTTATAATAAATTTGTCTAGGTTAAATCATGTGCCCAAAATCATGTAGCCAATAGTTGTTAAATTAAACCTAAATCTGTTTGGTCCCAAACCCTTTGCCTTTGAGATAATGTCACTTTGTTTCTTCTTTGTAGAATGATTTTTGAAACAACTGGGAAGTAATTAAGGCAAATACTATTCCCACTTTGCACATGAAAGCACTAAGCTCTCTGAAGTCATACGGTTCAGTGACGATTCAGGTTCAGTGACCGAGTTTGCTCTTTTTTTTAAAATTTTTATTATAAATAAACATTGATCATGCAGGTACCCTTGTTGATGAGGTATGCCCCTCCCTCCCCTAGCAGTTTCCCTCAACTGCCAATCCCACCCCCCCTCCCCTGACAGTTTCCCACTACTGCCAATCACTTTCTTATAGCATTATAATTGTTGAAGGTCAGCTTATGAATGAGGACATATGGAACTCTGTTCTTTGTTTCTGTGATAAATCACTGAGTATGATCAACTCCAAATCCATCCAAGTTGTTGCAAAGTCCATATATTTGTCCTTCTTTATGGCTACATAATATTCCATTGTGTATATATACCACATTTTTTTATCCAGTCCAGCTTCAATGGGCAACAGGCTTGGTTCCATGTTTTTGTTATTGTCAATAGAGCTGCAACAAACATACGTGTGCAGGTATCTTTTTGTAGAATAATTTGAGTTCTTCTGAGTATATTGCCAATAGGGGAATTGCTGGCAGAGGCAGGAGCAGCCGAGCTTGCTCTTAAACCCAGCTTTGCAGATCCAAAGTTAGTTGTCTCCCCTTCCTGAAACTCACAGTGTCATGGGATGAAAAGATTCCCTTGGAAGGATCAAGAGAGGAAGATGCTGGAGAAACATGGGTGGTTCCAGATGTCAGCCCATAAGACAATATTTGGGGAGAGCCTACATGGAGTACAGCTTCATACTGAGTATGTGCAAAGCACCTATGAGGACTTCTGTCCATAAAGCTTGCCAAATGAGAACTCCAACACGGTGTAGTAACCATGAAATAGGCTACACTTTGCTAACTGCAGATGCTATGAACGCAAAACAATAGAGCAAATTGATCTTAGCTGAGAATGGCTTAAATGGCTTCTAAACTGGTGTCTGGGCAGATAGTGGAAACAAGAAAACAGCCTGGCTCCTTTTAGGGTCATGGGGACAAACCCAAAGATGTGGAAGTACGAAGACTGTCCATGTCCACTATACTATGGTACCGTGGTTAGGATTGGGCCTTTAGAGCTGGGTATACCCACAATCAAATCCCAGCTCTTCCAGTCATGTGATCTCAAATAAGCTAGACCCACTCAGTGAGGTAGGTGCTAGTGTTACTCTCACCTATCAGATCAGAAAACTTAGGCTTGGTGCGATTAAATAAGTGTTACAGAAATCAAGCTTAGAAAGTAGTTAGCATGGTGCTGAGCATTTAGCAAACATTTGCTGAAGTGTAACTATTTTATTTTATATCATCAAAGGCAAGATATGAAAAGATGCCATCCCTTGATATTCATAAAATACCATGGAACTATGACAAAATATAAAATGCCTGGCCGTCTCTTGCATGTAGAGCTCAATGACAAAACACACATGTTCTTGGGTCTTTTAAAAATGACAAAGTAGTGGTCTAGAACTCTAAGAAAGCTCAGGCAAATTTAGATATTTAAAAAAAGAGTAGGGTCCTTCAAGTGTGGGGCAACACTTTTTAGTAGAAACCACATGGACTGAAAAAGTAAAGTGCAAGAGTTTGTGGTGTTGAATAACTTCACCCCAAACTATTTTTTCCAATTTATTGTGAATACTTCAGACATATTCTCAAGCAAAAACACCTATTTAATTTAATTTTTTTAATCTTTTTTTTTTTTTTTAGAAAGCAGGATTTATTGAGAGGACAGAAAAGTTCCCACAGTGGGAGGGGACCCGAATGGTTACCCAAAACACCTAATTTAAAAAGAGAGAGAAAAAGAATTAGACTCTGCTTTTAGAAAGACACTCTTTTTTTTTCCAGTTGGGAATTCGCTTACAAATGTTTTCATATTTTAGCTTATTGACATTAAATTACAATGTCACATTTGAAGTTATTGAAATGCAAACCCATTTAAAATGAAATCCTAGTTCATTAGGCAGAATGCAGCTCTATAATTTTGGCTCCTTGAGAGGAAAAGTAAAGCTGATGGGTTGACTGAATTCTAGGTCATGTCTTTGGGTCACACATCTACATCATACGCTAATAAATTAGAAATGGGTACTCGCCTATTAAACTTTCAGATGAATACAGATGACTGACAGCGGGCTAATGAAAACAGAGTTTAGAGACCATAAAAGATAAGCAAAATGTCCCTGTAAAATGATTCTTTCAGAGGGCCATCTTAGTTGGATTTTACATAGTAGAAGAGATGCTATGATTTTTAAATTTTAACCTCTGGCTTTTCTTTCTCTGTAAAGAATGGAGTTTACTTCATAGAAATTAACAGGGTGGGGAAAAACACATGCCTTGATTCTCAGTAATCAAGTGGACTTTGGCGAGTGCAAACCTGGGTTGGAAACTAAGCTGAGCCTCTTACTAGCCAGGCGACTTTGGACAAATGACTTAATATCACACAACCTCAAAACCCCCATATTTAGAATGGAAGGGTTATTACTACCCACTTCCTGGGTTTGCTGTGAAGGTCACACAAGATAACAAATGCCAAGCTCCTTGCACAGGGTGGTGCTGATCAATGCTCATCATTACTGTTCTCATTATTTCCCAAGCGGTGTCCAGCTCATCTCAGACCCTCATCACAAAGGCACGCGAACAAATACAAGGCCATGCTGGGTGTCCTGGGTATCATTTGAAAACAATGGAAATAAACAACTGTTCACTCACACATTCTTCTAACAACTCTTCTATGAACCAGTGCTGTTGAAACTGCCTATGCAGAACGGAGTACAAGCTGCAGCTATGGTCAGAAATGAACAAATGTGTTGCTTCTAAGTATATTTATAATCACCTTCACATCCTGCTGGCCCCTGGGGAGGAGGAAGGGAAGCTACCCCACAAAGCCAGTCCACATAAAAACTGCTCAAGGAGACAAGAAGCCACTGAAAGACAAAAAGCAGCTTCTGTCTCCAGGGTCCCAGTGTCCCCCTACACTTCCTCTGGGACTGCCTCCATAATGGTTCAGGGCTGGCCGGTAGTCCCTGCCAGTCGGGGGAACAGTTTTATAGACAGCATCCACTGTAATACCAGAGAAAGGCATCTGAGATATTTTTCAGACTTGGCGCTGTGGCGACCCAAACTCCCACCCAGTCCCAGAGCACCAGGAAGTCCTCTACCTATCACAGGAATCCAGGAAGACAGTCTCAACGCCCCCCAACTCCACCATCAACCCATTAGCAGCCCCTGTCCCTACACCCACCAAGTTCTCTTTAAAAACCTTATCCTCTGAATCTTCAAGGAGGCAGACTTGAGAGATTTCTCCCACTCTCCTCACTTGACTGCTTTGAGATATTAAACTCTTTCTCCATTGTAACGGCTGCATCAATTTTGCTTTTTTCTGGGCAGTGGGCATAAGAACCAGATTTGGCTGTAACACCATGGTAGATACCATAGTATTCCTCAGATGGGAGTTTGTGAAATGAGATTTTGAACACAAAGAGTAAGATTGGTGTGTGATATCATTACTGATGTAGAGATGAACTGGCCAGCCATGCTTCATGGGACCAAGTATGACCCTGGGGCTCTCCCCTTGCTCCACTAAATGGCATGTGGGTCACCGAGCCCTGTTACAACAGATATTGTGATGATTAGCAAGCATTTATAGAGCATCTACTAAGTGAAAGTG